TGCATTCTATACAGTGGGTTCAATATAGATGTTATAAATATGTATTCATTAAAATGGTCTTTTTTAGAATATTGTCGCCCTCTCCTGAAGAAGCAGAATCAACTGTGAAACACGTTGTGAAAGCAAACAATATTATCTTCTCATCTAACCCTCGAGTGAAGTTTTGTCATATATTTTTAGGAAGAACTTTACAGACTTCCATTAATGATGATAATTGCAAAAGCAACAGGGAAATTGTGGGAAGATTGGGCTATGGTGGCGTTGTTGTTAGCACTTCTGCCTTGGAGCACTCAGGGTCCCCAGTTCAAGTCCCAGTCAGGACACTATCTGCAAGGAGTTTGCATGTTCTCACTGTGCTTGTGTGGGTTTCCTCCGGGTACTCTGTTTTCCTCCCACACTCCAAAGACATGCTGGTAGGTTAATTGGCACCTCTTGAAAATTGTCCCTGTATGTATGTGAGATAGAGACCTTAGATTGTAAGCTCTTTGGGGGCAGGGACTGATATGAATGTGTAGTATGTAAAGCTCTGCATAAATTGTTGGCTCTATATAAATACCTGTAATAATAATGTGTATAATAAGTTAACTTTTGTGAAACTTGTCATTTTATGATACAAATAAAGATTGTGTGATTGTTGACACTGTGTGTTGTAGAGTCCAGTTCAGTTTAAATCTATAATCCAGGCAAATATAAAAGACAGTTTAGTGCAACTGTGTTTTTATTTCGTAAATTTTTTTTTCAAATGCAAGCAGCGTAAGTACCTCAATTTGACTTGGTATCATCTTGCAGTCCACTGTACAGCAGAGCGTAGACTGGGAGAGAGAGTGAAGCAGCAGAGGGAGCCAGTTGTGCTGCAGTGCAAGAAGCATGCTACTAGGAGAGAGAGCAGAGTGGCAGGGAAATAAGCTCATCAGTCTGCTTCTTGTCATTTCACTGCTCAGTCACAGGCTGAAGCAGGTGTTACTGAACCTCAGCAGAGAAAATTCAGATGCCCTGCTAGACAGGGCTGTGCTGTGCGGCAGAGCCGTGTAAATCTCAGGACTGGATGGACAGAAATAAACCTTTAAGCTGGCAGAACAGATCCCATATATGTATTTATTGTGTGCATTTAGCGGCTTGCATGGAGTTAAGCTTTTATTCTGACACAACGGCATTATATCCAGAGGGATATGTTCTACTCCCAAGAGAAATATTTTAACAACAAAGCAGGGTGTGCCTCAGATGAGCCATGTAGGTTCATCTGGATAGAATTACACGCTTACGTCGTCACTGTACCAGGGGTATATTGTAAATGCTTTGTATATTGAAAGGAAATGCATTTAAAGGCAGCTAACGAACACATGGAGCTATACAAATGCACAATGCATTATATACACATATAAAATACATATATATACACACACACACACACACACACACACACATATATATATATATTTCTGCTGTCCATAAGACAAAGGCCCCCTATATACCTATCTGTTCGGCAGAAAAATGTGTACAGGTCTTTGGTTTCCTGGTATCCTAGTAATCAGGAATTCTACGTTTTCTGGGTAAAGCTTCGGAAATATTAGGTGTATACGTGTAGTATAAAGCTTACCCTACCTCCAGCTATTTGGATGAGAAGTTCTTCTGCTCACGCAGTAACGATACAGCTGAAGTTCTAGCACTTGCACATCAGTAACATATGGGGGGCGGAATCCATCCAACCAATCCTGTTGCTCATACTTGTTGATTTGCATGTTTATGGAACACAAAGATCTTTTGACTTGGAAAAGTTTCAGCCTAATAAGATAGCTAATTATATGATGCACGGGTATAATTAGTTTACTTGTAATGGCAGAGAATAGATAAAATGTACATATTGTAATCTTCACTTTCTATAGCTCTAAAAAAAAAATGTTCAGCCTTTAAAGTGACACTAAACTCAGGAGTTAAAAATCTTAAAAATGCATTCAATTACCAGAAATGTATCTTATTTGTGTATCACTTGGCTGTAGATCCTCAGATCATCTCTGAATTGGTGCAGACACTGTCCTTCCTTCTGGAGGGTGGCTACTTTTGTTCCCCACGGTCCCTGTGTGTGTTGTAAAGTAGTCACCGCTCCAAGCTCATTCCCAAGATAGACTACAATCTCACATTCAGTTTACTGGTTATTATTGAGATTGTAGTCCATCACAGGAGCGAGCTTGGAGCGGTGGCTGCTTTGCAACACACACAGGGACCTTGGGGAACAAAAGTAGCCACCGTCTAGAACAGGGGTCAGCAACCTGCGGCTCCGGGGCCGCATGTGGCTCTTTCACCCCTCTGCTGCGCCTCCCTGTCCAGGGGCTGAAGTACCACCGGTGCAGCCGTTGTGGGGGGTGGTACGGGTGTAACTGCACACTGTGTGCTGTTATTTAATTTAATTTGAAAAGTGAGTTATAATGGGGAACGTTACACTGTAATGTTGCCTTTTATAATCTATTTATCTGATTAAATGATTAGACAGGGCCGGTGTTCTATCAAAGCTTGTGACTAGGTTGGAATGTGTCACTGGTGACGTGGTCACACATTTCAATGTAATCCCGCCCAGTTTTTCCACGGTGGAACGTGTGAACGTCAATAGGTGATGCATTCCAACGCTTTCTCAGCTGTTCCAGGGCAGATCGGCATCGCAACTCGTATGTGCAGGAGAACTGATCAGCCCTGGAACAGCTGCTCGGTCCTGAAATGTCACTTCTATCCGACTTTGTGAGTGGGGTGGAATGCGAAATGAGGAGGGTTCTGTGTTCTTTGTGATCAGTGATCAGGTAGGCAGGGCTGACACCACGTACTTTGGCATTTAGAGCCAAAAATGCACTGTGTAGTCATGTCAAGAAGGAATGTAGGAGTACATTATGAGGTCTATTTATAAAGCAGTAAATGTGACTGTCACCAAAAATTCTCTGGTGGAGAATCAAGCACTGCCATTTAAAACCTGCAGATTCACCTGCAGAGAATGTTTGCTCAGTCAGACTGCCTGCGCTTTATAAATAAACCTCTATGTTTCTAGCACACTGACAGTTATTTTTCTGCACTTGCAGTGTGTTTCATGGGGCAAAACACAAGGAAATGTGTATGTATGTACAAAATATGTTTTTTCTTTATGTTGCCTTAAAGAAGAACTCCATGCCATTTTTTTATAACCCGTACAGAGGGGCTACCCCTGCACTGCAAGGTTTAAGTGCTTGTTTTAATCTACGACTGAAAATAAAGTTATATGGCTTGCTCTTAGACCGGTCCCTGGAGCAGCGCCTCCCCCACCCACTGTCCCATCACGTTCTATGCAAAGTGTATGGGATGTGAGGATGCCTAAGGATATTGCATTGATTCAGCGGAGGAGGGGACAGGCTTGAGGGTGCAGTGTCATAGCTGGCCAGCTCTGAGGATCAGATAAATATAACTTTTTTATTTTCAGCCTCAGACCAAAACGACCAGTTAACCCTTGCAGTGCGCGGGTAGCAAGGGTTAATTTAAAATGTACCCAGAGTTCTTCTTTAACATACACTTTGAACTGGACTTAATTGTCTATATCCACTAAGTAGAGCTGATCCTTTATATTTGCTAATGTGAATCTTCCCACTGAAATGGGACCAACCTTCCTTATATTAACGGTGGGGCATATTGGTACTGTGCCATGTTCTGCTACTGGGACATTTTTTCTAACGCACTGTCAAGCCCCCCCGCACCCCCCCAACAGTCTGAAATTAACTGGTCCTATGCAAAAAAAAACATTGACCCCTGCATTACACGATATGTCAACTGTGACAATAGGACAAGAACAAAGGTAATATAAAAATAAAATAGATAGTATTTCCATAATTTCCATAGACTCTTTAATGTGAAACTCTGAAGTGTAAACCACAATGCACACTTTAGTATAAGTTCAAAAATATATGTATCTCACATTGTGTTTTTAGGAACACACTTGTTGATATTTCTTGATGATATCACATGTGAAGAATTTTTTTTACAGTGTTTACATATGTTGCATCAGGAATAGGCTTTCTTTTACTCCCTGGCTCCAAAAATTTCTTTATTGTAGGAATTGAAGATATTCTTGCTTTGAAAGCCTAAAGAAGAAGCAATAAACAGTATATTAAAACTCAACCTTCCTATAAATAAAATAGGAGGACAACACCATAAAAAGGTATAGAAAAATAAGCCTTGTAAATGCAAAGGAGAAAATAGGATTTCTTAGTACTCAGCATAAAATCATTTTCTCTGCACTCATTGAAGGACACAGCTGAGATCTATTGACAACCATGGGATATTCCTCAAAGGTATAGGAGAAATATCTCTTTCTATTTTTACACCCCCTTTATTTTGGCTGTTGTGTATCCAGTCAAGTATTCTTGATATTAAAACGGCTTTATGATATAATGCAAAATCCGGAATACCCAATCCTCCTCTGTGTTTTGGTCTCATCAATACTTTAGGACTAATCCGTGGTGTTTTATTAGCCCATACAAAACTTCTTCATAGCTGCCGTCTTAAGTTTTTGAAAAAAAAGGTTTGGCAATGGTATAGGGACTGTCTGAAACCTGTAACGGCTTTTGGGCAGTATGTCCATTTTTAGGACATTTACCCTACCCAACCATGACAGGCGTAGACAGTTCCATGTAAAAAAATGGGCGAAGATTTTATCTATCCAATCCCTAAAATTTATGACGTAGAGAGTATTAAGATCTTTAGGTATATTAATGCCCAAATATGCAATATAGTCGGGCTGCCATCTAAATGCATAATTATCCTTAATCCAGGATTGGACTTTATCCATTAATGATATATTCAGAAATTCTGACTTCGATATATTTACATGAAAGTTACTCAAATCCCCATATTTCTTCAGTTCTTTAAGTATATTAGGTATTGATACTACTGGGGAGGTTATAAACAGGAGTAAGTCATCCGCGTACAAAGCCAGTTTATGTTGTTGTGTTGGAAGAATCATACCCTCAATCGAGGGATTTTGTCCTTCCTGATTGGTCGGAAAGCTGGGCAATCAGGAAGCTGGGCACCATGTAATGACGCGACGCCCAGCTTTCTGATTGGCCGGGAAGCAGGTTTCATGCTCCCTCGTCACCTCATGATGAGGGAGCATGGAGCCGGCTTCCCGGCCAATCAGGAAGCCAGGCAGCGCTTCATTACACGGGCCCGGCTTCCTGATTTTCCAGAAAGCCGGCTCTATGCTTACTCGTCACATAGTGATGAGAAGCATGGGGATGGCTTCCCGGCTAATCAGGAAGCCAGGTGGCGAGTGATTACACGCCGCCTGGCTTCCTTAATGGGACTTCTGGTATTGGTATTCGGTATCGGCGAGTACCGGAAAAAAAATATCTGTACTCGATACCGGTATCGGTGCATCCCTACTACCTGGGAAAACTGTTGGGCAGTGAACAGCGAGGCCATGCTGTGTCCGAGGTCAATTTTTTTTTGTATAATAGCTAAGGGTATAGGGTGACCCATACCGGGTTTTTTTTGCTAAAAACGTAAAACTGTATTTTAAATAAAAAATGGCACAAACATGCGCATAAGGTATGCAGTTTGTTTACCTGTAAATTAGGAAGATTCTTCAGGATATCAGCATTTAGCTCTTCCACTGATAAAATGGCTTCCAGGAGATGCACGTCTGCTAAACTGAATTTTTTTCCAACTAAATATTCCTGGTTTTCCAAAGCCTAAAACAATAAAATAGATTAACTGCACAAAAATAGTATATGTAATCACAGAGATCAACATGTAAGGAGTACTTACACAGTTTGGACCAATTCCTCTCACCATAGTATAGCAACAGAGTTCTTGTTTAATAATCAGAAGTTACATTCCTACAATCAGGGAAAAGGGAGCTGGCTGCTGGGTGTTGAAGACAGTCCTTAAAGTAGCATGGTCCTTAGCTAGGCATGTGTGTGGGCTTGGAGCAAGTCGAGTTTGTCCAAATCCACGCAAAACAATCAGTGACACATCCCCCTCCTGGCCCAATCAGCTGCGGCAGGAGCATTGCCTGTCCCTTTTTTAACTGTTGCTGCGGAGCGGGGAATGCCCCCGTCGCTGACAGTTATGCAAAGGCTTGGCCAAACCTGGTTTGCTTAATTCCCTATGCTATAGAGATGCCTGAGACTATTGTTGGCAAGTACTGTACAAAGCAGCAGATGCATCATCCGAAATCATTAACTTTAGTGACTTTTAGTTTAGTGCCTGATCTAAAAATCACGATGCTGTGTACTACAGTGAGATTTCCGTAAAAGTTTCACAGCATGAACTAAACTTTGTGTGTCCCTTGAATCCAGCTGTGCCAATATAGTTTTTTACTGTGTGAAGTGAACTTAGTGTTGGTTGAGGGATCAAAACTGAACCGGAAGCAAGGTGACAAGCAACCAAAAAGAAGTAGCTATGTTTAGTGAGGACAATAAACCTCTCAGTTTTGGTACTCCCAGAGAAGGAGGTAAGAGGCCTCCTGTGATTAACAATGAAATCAATGGGTAAAAACTAGTCAGAGACTTAAGAGAATGAAGCTGCATCTCAGATGCCCCTGCTCAGAGAGTCCACTAGGTATTGTAGGAAGCATCTGGTGTCTTAGGAGATGTAATTCTCTATTGAAGTCAATGTGTGATGATTTCCTTCTTTTATGTACATAAAGCCTTGCAGGACATGACATATAAGTCTCCCACTCTCTAGGGTGGGGCATTACAAACAAAATAATTTATTTTCTATCAGGCTCATATATTATGCTATCAACACACAAATGTTTACTAGCTTTATGGATTTTTAAGTCCAAATTGAACAATTTGTCAAGTCTTTGATGGAGTGGGGGAGGCCTAGAATCTGTTGTATTTTAAATGTTGTCTGTATCCTCACTGGTGAGATTTCCCCTGTAAACTTACTCTGTCTGACACCAATCACCTGAACGAAAAGTGGGATCACAGAAAGTAATCCACACCTCACAAAAGTTCTAATCAGAGCGTATAACCACTCTCCCACTCGACTAGAAACATTTTTTTATTGCTTTCTTGGACACAAATAAAGAGATTTTCCCCTATTTCCTGTTCTGTCGAAAGCTGGCCATATACCTATAGATTATCAGCAGATTTTCTATGGTCAGATGGAAAAAGTGCAACAGATTCCTCCATCTACACTTAACTGTGTGGATGGAGGAATCTCCCACTGGGCCAAGCTTCAGTATCTTGCTAGTCGGCCCCACTCGCTCTAAAAATACCTGAACAATGCCTGCATCCAATCACATTGTTCAGGTGTTTTGACAGCCAGCAGGGCCGACTAGCAAGATACTGAAGCTCGGTCCAGTGGGAGATCCTCCATCCACACAGTAGCGTAGATGGAGGAGTCTGTTGCACTTTTTCCATCTGACCATAAAAAAATCTGCAGATAATCTATAGGTGTATGGCCAGCTTTAAATACATCAGATAGGCAAGAATTGAGGAGAGATATCCCTAGCAAGTACACAGGCAACAATAAAAACTTGACAGCAGTTATAACATTTACCCATTCTATGCAAAGCTAAAAAAAAAAGTTTGGCTGGAGCAGGGCTTTAAACGGTACCCAGAGACATAGGATGATCAGGGTTAGATCCAGCCAACTGTGTATGTAACAGAAAACATTTACAGCCAATCATTTGAGAAGCAACACAATATTATTCAAACTGGAATTCTACAGGCCAGTCAATGGTTTTTATTCCATGAGATGGGTGCTTGGGTTATCTGGAAATTCTCCTGCAATATATGAATGCCTGGACAATATCAGCATGCAAATTAACAACAACAAAAAAGCAATCAGTATTTGGATGGTACCCGCACAGAGAGTGAGACAAATTTAATGTATATCTGGGCAGGAGGCCAAAACTGGTTTAAGGGTACAATTGCTACTCCACCAAATAGGTGAAAGAATTGAAACCACCCAGGATCCCTGATGTGTTAAAAATGTATATGTTGCAGGGTTATTGAAGCATTTCTGAGCTACAAGTTCTGTGTTCAGTATACTAACAGATGGGAGTGTTTACACACTGACGGTGTAACCAGTGTGTAGTTATCAGCACAGGTATTATCCTGATTTATAATACATAGGCAGGCTAGATTTCTACTTCTATGCATTAAATATCTATGTAGACTATTGTTAAGAGAGAAAAAAATCATACTTTTTCATAAACCGGAAGATATCTGTTCAAAGCTCTTTGTTTAATAAGATCCCGTTGTTTCTTCTGTTCAGCTTCAGGCATAAAGTACAATGACATAGTCAATTGCATTAAGTCAGTGGTTCCTTCAACATACATGTCAATGCTGGAACAAAATAAAATAATAAAATAATGTACAGTAATCATCACTTACACAAATAGACGACTCTCTAAGTGCAGACTTGTACAGTAGTCAATTATAAATGAACCCTGCTTTTAAAGAGACATTGTCACATTTCAAATGCAATGTGACCTCCTGCTGAAAATGCTAGTTGCCTGCTGTTATGGCCTCGTCTGCCGCCGGACCAGCCAGAAGTGACGTCCCGTCACTAACGTGACGTCACTTCCGGCCAGTTCGACAACAGACGAGCAGCGTCGCTGATGGGGCCCTAGCTTGTCTCAAAGCCGCTGCAGTGGCAATGCTGGGGCCCTGCGCTGCTAGGGCCAGGCCTCCGCCTCTTAGCCCTTCACCGTCGGCCGATAGTCATGTAAGGGACCCGGGTGGGCCCCCCAGGCTGCCCGGGCCCCTTACATGAGTATCGATAGTACCCCCCTGATGGCTGCCCTGGCTGTTATACTGAACCTCTGGCTAGATGAGCTGCTGAGTCACTGACCTGGAACAAGTATGCCAATCACACAAGTCAGAGTAAAGTCAGCAGAAGTCAATGACTCAACGTATTAAAGACAGAGGGTCAATATGACCAGCAGGGAACTAATGCTTAAGGAATAAGCAATCAGCAATGCCTGCCTCCACATTTCACTCAGGAAAGGTTTCCTGTAAAGCAAAATTAGGGGTTCTATTCACAAAACTGCCGTAGGCAGCCGAGTGAATAACCGACCCGAAGTGAAGTGAGCCAAACGCTGTTCGGCTATTCACTTCAGGCTTGTATGGCTGATTTCAGCCGTATATCAGCCGTACATCGGCTTGCTTCGGGTCGGCCGACCCGGAGTGCAGAAGGAGTTCGACTCAGCCGATCTAACATCTGGATCGGCTAAGCCAAACCTCCGGCAGGCTACTCGCTATTCTCATAGATGCCGAACAGCAGTGAGTGAATAGCCGAATGCCGCCGAGTAATACTGAGAATACCGCTGTGGTACCGAGCAGAATAGAAAAATAGTATTAAAAAGTAGAAAACGATTGGGCGGAGCTCTCAGTGACAGCTAGTTCCGCCCAACTGTTTTCTATTGGCCGGGCGGTTCTGCTGGTGTCAGAATAATAAAAAAATTAAAAGACACCATAGGAATGCATAGCTAGATTCCTATTGGCTATTTCACTTTGCAATAGCCAATAGCAAACTAGCTATTGCACCTGCCCTCTGCTGCTGTCAATCACTAGAAGGGGACCTGATGGAGAACTTCAGGTCCCCCTCTGCTGATTGACAGCAGCAGTGGGCGGGTGCAATAGCTAGTTTGCTATTGCAAAGTAAAATAGGCAATAGGAATCTAGCAATGCATTCTTATGCAGGCTTTTTTTCCCTGACTGATGGTGGCCAGGGGCCCCGTGTCAGAAAATAAAACAGATGGCAAGGAAAGGTTTACTCTGCTCGATCGAGCAGAGTAAACCTTTCCGGGAGAAAGTGTTTCTCTACCGGGCGGCCGGGAGCCGCTATCTAATAGCGGGAGACTCCCAGAGCGTCCGAGAGTAATGACAGATCAGCGTTCCTGGTTACCTAGTAACCAGGGACGCTAATCTGTCTCTGCAAGTGGCCGGAGCCAGCCGTGCCTAGCTCTCAGAAGCAGGCTGTCGGCCGGCCAGCTTCGTCTTTCACCTCGGCTCGGTTGAATAGCCCGTACAGCTGCCCTTCGGTTCTACTGAACCGAAGGAGTCCTGGGGCCGAAGCTAGCCGAAGGATCAGCCGAAGCTACGGCTAGATCCTTCGGCAGCTTTGTGAATAGAGCCCTAGAACTTAACTGGATGATAATTACTTTGCTAAAGCATTGTGTACAATAAACAATAGTTGTTTTCATATATTATTATTATACAGGATTTATATTGCACCAATAGTTTGCACAGCGCTTTACAATATAACAATAATAATATATGTTTCACTTTTTTGCCATCCTCTTTTACATCCCAATGCTGCTAATCCCCTCGAGCCTCATTACAAAGCCTCTTTTCAGACAGTGCATTGCCTACAATATAGATGTTCAAGAAAAGGAACAGTGTGTACAGGTTGCAATTAGGATACTTATGTTCTACAGGTGCACCAAAATAAAAAAAAATCCCAAACCGAAGGGAAACCGAAATTTTAAAAAATGTCAGGCCGAAACCGAATTTTTTTTTATTTTAACTTTTTTTTAAAATTATATTTAATTTTTATTTTATTTTTGAAAACTTTTTATTTTTTTATATTTATTAATTCATTTTTTTATTAAATATTTGTATCTTTTACTTTACTTTTAGGGGCTTTGGGGAAATATTGGGGGTCCAAACAGACCCCTGATATTTCCCTTTTAAAATAGAAAAAGAGATTGAGAACACAGAGTCCTCAATCTCTTTTTCTGTATCCCTTGGTATCAGTGAACAGGAATCCTCTATGAGTGTTCCTGTTCATTCATAACATGGAACATTGTGTGTTTACTATAACTACAACTGTGAATGAACAGGAGGTGATGTAGATCACTCCCATTCATTCATATAATTGAGGATATAGTAACCATACCATGTCCTCAATTATTTACAAACACTCAGCGATCACTGAGTGTTTGTACCTTGCTCTCCTCTCTGACACGCTGTCACAGGAGGCTGATCAAGCGGTGCAGGGAGGAGAGCCCAGCCTCCTGTGACAGCGCTGGCTGTCTCCGCCCACACCACTGCTCTTCTCTGATCTACTCTGATCTGTGACAGGAGTCTGAGCGGTGTGGGAAGAGAGACGCCGGCCACTCACAGCGCTCTCCTCCGCAGCGCTCGGACACCTGTGACAGTTTCTCTCCTCCCCGCTGGGACACAGAGCAGCGCCCAGCGGAAGGAAAGAGACCTGGGATGCACCGCTGTATTGGCCAGAAAATGGCACTTGCGGCATTATGCCAAAAGTGCCATTTTTGGCCGATATGTTTCGGCGGCCAATATATCGGTGAATCCCTAATATTTTCAGTGCTGTGTAAGATCAGACCATTAGCCACAAACAATGCACCTATCACAGTCTGAATGCAAAAGGCAATAATGCTGCAAGCACTATTTTTGCAGACCGCATTGGACAGGAACACAGGCACTAATGTGCTTGCGTTCCAGGTGTGGGCGATTGCACTGCAGGCGGGGGTGCCGTTGACTCCCACCCCTGAACGCAGGGAGCCGGCTGGCTTGCGTTCCAGAGGGCGAATGCTCTGGAACGCGGACCTTGTGGTGTGAATCGGCCCTTAAGGCTGGATTTACACCTGTGGGTTTTTGCTGGATGCTTTTTTATTGAAATGAATAAAAATAAATCAAAACGCATTTTGACGCACAAGAACATAGCATGTGGGTTATGGCGCTTGTCGCTATTCAGTAAGTGCATTGCAATATGCATTAAAAAATGTACAACAACGCATGTTGATGCGTGCGTGTTGACGTGTTTTGATGTGTTTCCATTTATGTCAAAGGAAAGCGAGAGTAGAGGAGAAAACATAGCATAGCTTAAAACTTATTGTGCCACTTTCTGAAATGTGCTGTTTACTGTTTAACTTTATATAAATTTATATAAATGTTGGCTTACCACTAAGCAGGCTATCCCCCTTTCAGCCCATCATGAATGCAGCTGCTAGACTCATCCACCTTACCAACCAATCAGCGTCCACCACCCCCCTCTGCCAATCGCTCCACTGGCTCCCACTTCCACAAGGTATAACATTTAAAAAACTAACAATAACCTACAAAGCCATCTACAACTCCGCCCCAACCTACATCCCCCACCTTATCTCAAAATATCACCCAAACCACCTCCTTCACTCTTCCCAAGACCTCCTGCTCTCCAGCTCTCTTGTCACCTCCTCGCATGCTCGCCTCCAGGATTTTTCCAGAGTGCCTCCCATCCTCTGGAACTCCCTACTCTAATCTGTCCGCCTCTGTTGGCGCTATATAAATCCTGTATAATAATACAGATATAATAATAATAACACTTACCAAACTCTTTCTTTCAGGTCCTTCCCATATATGTTGTATTTTCCAGCTATGTAGCTCAGGATGGCTTTAGTTTGAACTAGTTTCATGCCATCTATTTCCACCATTGGAACTTGTTGAAACAGCAAATCTCCGCCTGGAAAGAACAAGTGCAGACTGAATAAATAAAAGTCACTTCTGAACAGAGCCAAAGTCAATCACTCAGACATTTGTGTTTCATCCCACAACCTCTAGAAAAGGAGCATGCTTTGTATTGTGGGTCCAGGTTCTATGCAAGAACAACTGCTAAGTTATGGAACATGAGCAGTCAACTAATGTTATGGTGTAAACTAGCCTTGGCTTAAAGCCCAACTCTGGGCTAAATCTGATTTATACAGTATATGTCCTTCTGCATTTGTAAAAAAAATAGATGAATAACTCTGATTGCAATACTCACTTGTAAAAAAAAGAACTCTGGGAGATTTATAAATGAACCCTTGCAGGGGGGCTACCCCGGCTGTGGTATGTCCCTCTGCGTCCCCACATCTAATGGACTGCATTAGACGTGATGACGTCACTGGTCCTTAGACTTCCGGAGCCTGAGGTGAAGAGACTGTGGGGACTGATCTAGCAGACAGATGGGACCAAGAATCAGGCGATTATTTCTTCTTTATTTTTACTCCTTAACAAAGTGAGCCCTTAACCCTTGCACCACAATGCAAGTCCCAGTGCCTAAGGGTCATATTCCAGGCTAGACCCATAATCTTCCAGCCCAGCAGGGTCTGGGTATGGCCTCAAAAGCTGCTGCTGTAAATAAAGTCACCAGGACTTGTAGAAACCAGGGGCGTTCCGAGGCTGGGTGACACCCGGAGCAGTAACCGAGTGTCACCGCGC